AGAAATCTGACTTGAAATTTCTCTGATGTCTTTTGCCCTCCTTTGCAGTAATCCTAACACACTACTAACATACATGTTAACATTTAACTTAAGAGACAAAAAGACAGATGCTCCTTCGTGGGATTACTTGCATGAGTAATCTTTAGCATAACTGAAGCTGGATATTGTTAGAATGGTTTTTATTTTTAGCTGAGAAAAGCATATTTATTTTCAGAGATGAAGTTGAAAGACTATGCTGAGCCTGACATAGATGCAGTGCAAACTTAACCACTAATTATAATGAAAATCTGAAATGGCCTATAGGAAGGTGGCAAGCTCTTAATTTAATGAACAATCTTTTTTACAAAAAACCTCACTCTTCTAACAGATTACCTCAAAGATCTTTCGATCTTGTACCTGAGTGAGGTAGGAGCCATGCCATTTGTGAGCCTAAGAGAGAACAGAATCGCATATAACCATTTTTCCTGCAATTCAGGCAAAAATACACATCCCATGCTGTTTCACATGCTCACTCAGCCTTAGCTGTCTTAGATCAAAGTTTCAGCAAGTATTAAGGAAAGCTGAAAAACCCATACATATCTTTTATATTTGACTTCTCACACTGCAGTTGTAGTAAATACTAGGTAATTGCTAACAAGCCTGGAAAGGACAATTTTATATACAAACCTTTTAAATATTTATGGTAGTCCCTTTATCAGGAGTGCTTCCCACCTTCTGCACTTTCAAGCCTTAAACTCAACCATCTGATGCGTATTTTTCCTTTGCTTGATACCAGCAGCACCCACAGCTGGGCTGATAAGGGGGTTACTTGCCTTCTTGAAGCATATTTACTCCACTTCAACCTGAAACATATTTACTATGATAGCTTTAAATTAACTTTTGTGAATTTACCTTACAAGACCATAAGGTAGCGTGACTCTTGCCACTGTTTTAGACCATCACCTCTCTGTCATATGCCATGCTAACATGTTGCCACTATTCATTTTGGGGAGCTTGGAAGTGATCTTTTTAGGTGACTGACAGTGACTCACTCCAGCAGAGAAAGCACCGGATCAGGGCAAGGAGCTGGCTGATCCTGGTGGAAAGTCTCACATTGCAGCAGCTGCCTCTGCCGTATTTGACTCGTGAATAAAGGGCTTGTTTTCTATCCTGGCTTTCAATTAAATTTTGGTAAACACAGACATTATCGAAACATTTAAACCAGTTTATTTGACTCCTAAATGAATGGTTGTTTTCTCTGAACAGAGTCAAAGCCTGACGCTCTATTCAGAGAAAATTTCAAATGATCAGTGACGGATGGAAATTTCTGTCTCTGTTTCTGACCTTTGCAATGTCAGCAGTCCAAATATTCAAAGTTAAAAAAACAGCACCCAAGGTACTACAAGACTTCCAAGTTTGTTGTTGTGTTTTTTCTCCAACCCCCCTTTTTTTTTATTAAGGATCAGAACTGAGGGAAGAGAATGCCTCTGTTAACAATATCACAACCTGATGGTCAAGCAGGAGCTCATCTGACACATAAACCAATCCATCTTGTAAATCTGTAACTGCTGTCAACACGAGGCTTCTCAGACTTTCCAGCGATGAGCTCAAGTTTGTGGAGCCATCGGCAGTTTTGTGTTTCCCTAACCATTGATCTGAGGCATGATGGAAGAAGAAAAGTAAAAACTTCTCAAATCCTCCCCCTGCTTTCACATATCTGCTTGCTGTCAGGCATACCTCACCCCAAATGACTCGGGTTTAATAACTTTGATCAATATAGAAACTATTTAATATGCTAAATCTAAGTTTATCCTTCAAATACTCCCCTGTGAAAATAAATGCCTTATGGTGCATTCTGCAATTAAAAAAAAAAAAAAAAGAAGAAAAAAATAGGGAAGAATTGCAAAAGGTATGAGGCCAGAAATCAGGCCAGTCATCGGTCCTGTGCTAAATGGCCATATAGGCTCATGCTCAGAGGTAAAACAGCTGCTTACCTTCTTCACAGCTGGATCAGGCAACTGATTTAGCAGCTTCTGAAGCTACCATTCCACAAAATACATTACCTGAATTTTAAAATATATGCCAGTAGATTTCCTTACACCACTGAGGGGAAGATTAAAATGCAGTCATGCAATATATTACGTGGTTGGATAGCACAGCTCTTAAAAATGCTTAACATTCAGAATAAGTGGCTTTTGTTAAAATTAATTTCTCTGGCGGATGGTCTATACATTACGTGACAGAAGCAAATGCCCTCTTCAAACAGTGCAAGTGACAGCCAAAGTCTGCCAAGGAGGGATGGAGGACACATTCCACAAATGTTTCCAAGATTCTAATGCTGAATTACCAACAGAGAAGTTTAAAACAAAAAAAGCAAAAATAGAATCATTGAATACCAGGTTGGAAGGACCTCAAGGATCATCTGATCACAAACTTTCTTGGCAAAGCATGCCCTAGACTAAATGTCCCAGCACCCAGTCCAGCTGAATCTTAAAAGTGTTCAATACTGAGGAATCCACCACTTCCCTATGGAGATTATTCCAATGGCTGATTATTCTCATTGTGAACAATTTTCCTCCGGTGTCCAATCAGAATCTCCTCAGGAATAATTTGTGCCCATTACCCCTTGTCTTTCCCATGTGACTCTTTGTAAAAAGACAGTCTCCATCCTTTTGTATCCACCCTTTAAATACTGGAACATGGTGATAAGGTCTCCCCTGAGCCTTCTTTTCTCTAGGCTAAAGAAACCCACTTCTCTCAGCCTTTCTTCCTGGTGTAAGGAAGGCTTCCCAATCCTTTGATCTTCGTGACCTTCTCTGGACCTTCTGGACCCTCTCCACATCTTTTTTGTATAGCAGGGACAAAAACTGAACACAGTATTCCAGGTGTGGCCTGACAAGCACTGAGTACAGTGCGATAATGACATCTTTATCTCTGTTGGTGATGCCCTTATTAATGTGACCCAGCATCTTGTTGGCTTTCTTTGCTTCAGCTTCACATTGTTTACTCTTACTGAGCTTATTGTCCACCAGGATCTTCAGTTCCTTTTGCACAGAGCTGCCCCCCAGCCAGGCAGATCCCAGCCTGTACTGCACTCTTGGATAGATATACAAAGTAGTTTTGATAAAGGATGCTGATGGTGCCTCAGACCGACAGACTGTCTTTTAAAGAAAATAACTACTGACCTCAGGTGACCACTTTTTATTTCCCTTTCACTGTATGTGTACATACATGCATGTGCATATAAGCAATTTCTTAAAGAACATCACAACAAAAATCCAAGGTGATTTCTTTCTATTAACTCTTAAACCAACACAAACAACAGGAATTTGATCTATTCATTTCAGTTCTGCTTGAAGTAGAATTTCAGTGGCTTTACATACCACATCTTAAACCGCACAGGCAGTACTGAATTAATTGAGCTTTTACAGTCACTCAGTCATGAGAAGTGTCAATCACTGGATGCTCCACTTCAAATGAGAAGTAGAGGCACTCAGAGTGAAGTACATACTGTACAACCCCCTTTCAACATTTTCAACATAGAAAATACGACCGCACTAACAAAGTAATAATGCAGTAAAAAACCCACCACAGATTCACTTCTGCAGCCCCTCTGTCCCATTCGCTGATGACAGAACAAAAGTCCATGTACGAAGCATGCAAAGCTTTTGGGGCTGCCTTCCAACTGCACACGAGCATGTCAAAACCTGCTCAGCTGATATAGGGACTTCTTCAGTATCTCTAGACATATAGCAAATAAAAACCCCTTTACAACATTACTGAAAGGAGTTTATATCTGTATAGCAGATATCACTGAAGTTTAAGGCTATAGCTATACCCAAACACACACACACCCCACCCCCACCCCCCACCCCCCCGCCTTCAATTTTACATAATCTATAAGCTTATCTGTTCACGGGGCTTTGCATGACAAACAACAGTAGTAAAGTAAAAAATAAATCAGCATAGCCCTGTCATATGAAAAAAAAAACAAACCCCAGCCTTCCTTCGATCCACCTGACCCCCGCTAGAACTAAAATGTGTTGTATGGCAGTCATTCAGAGCTGTGCTCTCTCCAGCTCATCCACACCACATCTTGTACTCTACTGCCCCTTCAAAACATCATCAAAACTTCCTCTCGTGCTTATCCAAAAGACACAGCTCTCTATGGTTTTGATGTCTGGCCTGCAACATCTCATAGCAGACCATCAAGCTGTCCTGTCACTGCTGTGTCACTGAACCTTCTGCAGGTACAAGTGTGGCTGAAGGCTGAGTCCAATCAAACTGGATCTCCGTTATAAAGAGGGTAAGAATTAATTCCAACATTTTGTTGTCTTAGGAAGGTTTTGGTGTGCATGCAAAGAGACCAGTATTAAAACACACTGACCACCTCCCTAACTTGTTTCTCATTCAGCATTTATAGAATACCTACTGCCACAGGACCTTGGTCTGTGACAATGGCTGGATGGGTGTTATGACAGTTCAGCAGTTACACAAAATTAAAACTTAAGAACAGCTCATCCAGCATTACTGCCACCTTCTTAATACAAAAAAGGCAACAAAACCAAACCAAGAACTGGGATCAGAGCCCTAGTATAAAAACACGATGCTCAACTTACCAGCAAGAGCATTAGAGGCTTGGACTCCCTAAATTGCTCTATTTCCCAAATCTCCCCTGAGGCCGCAGTGTTACAGATACAGTTCCAACCTAAAAATTTGTCTGAATATTCACAGTGATAAACAGGCAGAATTACTATGCCTAAACACTATATAACGTGTAGTTATCCAGCTCGGTGAAAGGATCATTCAATGGTTGCAATCCACAACTTCCTGTCAGCTTATACAAGATGAAACCAAATCACTGAATTCATACTAAAGCTGAACAAAAATGAAGGACCAGGCAAGACAAAGACAGAGGAAAAAATGCAAGATGCCTCAGTCTCCCATGTTTTCAAGCATCTTAATATCAGCATTATGTGATGATGGGAAATAGGCAATAAGAGCCTGTTATTTAAACATACCAGATATCTTTCCTCCTGCCTCATGCTGGGGGTACGGATCATGTGATTCTGTTCTCCTCTCCAGTCTCCAAAACGTCGAAAAAAATAATTGGATAAAAACCGACTGACAGGATCTCTAATGATATTGATGTACACTGGCTGGTCTCCTCCAAACCTGGCGGGAAATAAAATGGGTCAATCTCATCAGAAGATTTCACACCGGCACATGTACCCATCTTTTATCTGAATGTCTTCAGATTACTCTCTACACAAGCTCAGAGCTTTCACAAGATTAGAACAGAAACTGAGAGGCTTACCAGTAGTTACCAAAACTTTGTAAAAGCATGCAAGACCTCTTTCAGATGAGCAGTAAATATGGTGTCACATTAAGCTATGTAGTACAGAAATTTTCGTTTAAGACCATTTTTTGCACTGTGTCAATAGATCAGCCTCTTGAGTTTTCTCCTTGATGTTTTCAGATGAAGAACCTTCTGCAGCTCAATCCGGGAATGGGTACTTTTTGTCAACACATTTCTCATCTAGGAAGTTATGTCAGAGCAGGCAATGGCTAACACAAACTGCCATAAGGCAGCCTTGGATCACCTTCACCTGTACAGTAAGTGCAAAGGATTTTGCAACATTCAAGCCTATCTCAAAAGGCTTCCTTTGGATGAACTGACAGATATGTATGATATTTCCACCTTTATATTTGCTGGAACTTGTGCAGATCTTCCTCCCCTCACCCCCAGCTTGCACCACTAGCTGGATTTGAGGTTATTTTGTGGTTACGCATCACCTTATCCTTGTACTGCTCTGCACAAAGGTGTTTTTTTGGAAGTCAATATAAAAACGTGCTTCAAAAAAGAAATTATGCATCTATTTCAAGTACAAGCAAGTCCAATGAAAAGGAAAGATAAAACCAGGTGTGACCAGGCTCCGCAAAATGCAGCACAGGTACCTGCAATTTAGATATGAAAAGATAAACCAGAGCAATCTCATCAGTCTGACTTTACCCTCTTGTACACCTCCTCCTGGTAACTTATGAAAAACATTTTCTGTTTAACAGGTAGGATAAAAAGAGACAAGCGGAGGGAAAAGGAGTTTGAGGAGGCTTGTGATTATACTGTATTTTCACAGTATTAAAAATATTTTAACTGCATATTTTGTATCAATACACAGCATCAGAAGAACGGGGAAAAAATGAAAGTTGCTTACTCTCTTCTGTGGTCAAAACTGACAATGGACATTTATGCTATGGAACAGACTTATGAACTACAGATGCTGGGAGAGATAAAGAACAAAATAAAAACTTTTTGGATTAAGAATTTCATAGGATAAATTCTACTTGGAATTTGCCTAAGAATATGAATTATATTTCTCCCTTCTGTTTCTCCAACTCAGGAGGACAATTCTTAAGCACTAGCTTGTGGTTTAATTTTGGAAGCTTGAGGACATAGCCACATTTAATGATTTAAATGCTGTTCTGATGATTTTATGGTCACAATTTATATATTTTCCTTCAAAATGTAAAATATTAGATGAGAAGAGAGAAAACTGAAGACATCCTTTGTATTAAAAAAAAAACCAAAACCCTCTTGGCTTCTCTACATCTTTTGAGCCAGATGAATAATTGAATACGTATAATAAAAGGGAAGGTCTCCTCATAAATATTAAATAGCCAGCAAAATTGTTAAAAAATATGAGTTCTAGTAAAAGACAAAAGAAAAAAAAATCCCACAGTTTCAAGTTGAGTTTTAGTCTGCATGATTCCCCAGACCACTAAGTAGAGTCTGCAAAGGCTTGTCTCATGAGTAATGATGCATATCAGTAATTTCCTTGACCTCAGTGTTGCAGGATCATTGCCATAATTTGAAATTGCACAGACAGCATAAAACTTTAAACCAATCCAATTAAAAAGGCAGATGCTCCTTTCTTCCTGATTAGTACATAGCCCAGTTTGGACATGGGTGTGCAAGGGAAGTACCCTGAATTCAGTACCCTGAACTCTTCTCTGAGATTATTTTTGCTGGTTTTCGTCATTATGCAGAAATAAAACCTACATTAAAGAAAGGCATTCCTGTGAATACCATAGGACAATGAGGCCATGAAGCTTTGACAATATTTATTCAAGCAGAAAGCTTTTGGTGAATGCCATTGCTGGTAGCCATGAAAACTATATTTTTCAGTTGAAACTGCTGGCAAGAAGAGGTTGCACCTAAATTACTGAACACATTATCTTCCTATTGCTTGATAAAGATCAACAATAATCTAAAGACAGAAGAGAGTGAAGTACAAAGAAAAGGGGAAGCAACGGAGACAGTAAGAAGTGATGACAGCAGCAAGTCGTCTTAAGATACGTAAAGATAACAATATTCAGAGATGCAAAGAGAAAGGATATCCTGCCCCAGGGTTTGTAGAGAACACTAAGCTTAAATGCCTGTCTGAAGAGACAAAAATCAGAAGCAGACAGCTATTAGTTGTCTAGATCGAAATATTCAACACATATTGTCTTTTCTGAAGTGAAAGGAGGGATCAGATTGCATAACCAAGCCACCAAAGTGTCACAGCCTGGCCTTTTGCTGGTAAGGTCATGTCCCTGAACATGTGAACTGCAAATTCATCACCAACAGCTCTGAGAACAGGCACATGCAAGCTCGTCTGTCCCAAGAGGGCAGCTCAGATGGGAGGTCACTCTTTCACAAAATTGCTACAGAGGAACTTCTTATTTCTGAAATGGAGAGTGTGTCCCCCTCAAAACACAGGGCAGCTCGAATGTCTGATTTCCTGCACTCTGTAACCAGCCTGGTATATAGCCTGGAGTTTCAATTGCTCCATCAGGCAACAAGCAGGGAGTTTTCAGAGAAATTAAATCTGTTCTGGCTCTTACTCAAATCTGTATTTTTTTTTAAGCATGGTTTTTAATACTTCAAATTCCAACCATTTGTTTCTATGGACTACACTGAGACTTTTTTATGGAAGCTAAGCAGCACTCGCATGGCATAAAAAATCCTCCTGGTTAAAAAAACCCTCTGAAATCAATAACCGTAAGCTATTTAGAGAGAGAAAAGGGCAAATCAATGCTCCATTTGTTCAAGTATGTTCAGCATATTTTTAGGTACCTATCAATCACAACATATTAAATATTACTTAGCTTTCCAGAGTGAAACTTCTCAAATTAACAACACCCACATGAAAGTGCTCTTGCAGATAACACATTGTGCTCTCATTATACATCATGTCACCTTATTTATACTCAGATACCTATTGTGAAGGATTCAAAAAGGGATATGATCATATTTTTCTAGGCCTGAGCAGAATGCTTACCTTCTCTGAGTGGGATCAAGACTTCATTCTGCATGATAAATGTACCTGATCATTCTCATGGCCAGCAGCACATCGCTACTGGGTAGAGTGGGCCAGGACACCGCCATTTCAGAGAAGCACTGAAAATGTATCCACAGATCTTCTGCAGTCCTTTTCCTGTATTTAATTTCTCCTGATTTATTCAGTATATACTATTAAATCCCATTAGTTTTAACTGCTCTGCTGTGACAAGTATATTTTTGGAGCACCCATCAAAATAACTAGACTATTTACAGGCTTCAATCAATGATATTTAGGTTCATTAATAATGCATTTCTCCATCCTTTTTTTAATAAAAGGAAACAAAAAAGAGAGGTATGACAGATATTGCAAGTCTGCCCCTTAGAAAAATGTCTCTGATGAATTCCAATTGTATGATTTACATGGTTTCTTTTTTTTTTTTTTAATCAACTAAAGTGATTTGCTTGGCTTTAGAATGGAGGCTCTCTCAGTTCCTGTTATTTTTCATTTCACTTCACTGCTGGAGGCTGCTGTATTTCTGTTCAGCACAAAACCCTTTGCACAAGCAGAAGCAGGCTTCTTTGTCCCTGCAAGCAAACAATACTCCTTGAGGAAATGACAACTCCTAACCTATTCTCTGAAAGAACTTGGGCTGTCTTTTACTCTTCTAATGTAAAGTATCTTCCCTTAAACAAGTGAGGGAGTTGCTAAAAATTCAATGTAACGGAAACAAACAAGAACTGACAGTCATCTAATATTAACAGGGACAAGCATATTGTGTCCTTCTTAGAAAGGCAACACAATTTGCTTCTACAGCTTCATACAAATCAGAATCACATGCTGAGAACACAATTGCCCAGCAAGCTTTACTCATCAATTACGTTACACCTCCATTTCCTGCTCTGCAGCACAGCTTCACGAGGAAGTCACGCAAAAGCACTAACATACAACTTTCACCTTTTCAGGACTGAAATAAGATGCACTTACATCAAAATCTGTCTTCTGAAAAAGGTACCTTAAAATTAAAAGATACTATAACTTGTCGAATTTGCATGCATCTGGGGCAAAGCAACCCTATTCTGCACACAAGGCACCAGGCAATGCTGGGATGCTCCAATGACCCTCTTCAAGGCTGAGCTGCAAAAATTTCCAGAGAAGCAGGCTGAGGTACTGCCTATTTCACTATCCTGTGAATCTCAGAATATTTAATGTTGTATTTCTGTCAGTCTTTTACACTCAGGAATGCTAAACAACAAGGTGGGATTTTTTTCCCCTATGCCTATCATTATGCTGAGGATATGAAAGTAGTTTAATATATAAATTCACAATTAACAGCATCAGCACTGACACAAATCCTGACAGGGTCTGTATAACATCCCCAACTCAGGCAAAGGCAACCCTTGAGAAGGTAATACTAATTGTGTTTCCCTTCATGTAATGCAAAGTTACAGCCAGAAATAAGTAGGAGAGAAAACACCAATTCTCCACAAAGCACTAACAACAGCTATAGTCAAACTCTGCATTATTTAAAATCACTTAATTCTAGATACCTTTTTTCCAAGACTTTCCAGAAGTCTGGCTCAGGATCTCTCTGGACCCCTCATTAACATTTCATTGTAATTCAGAGATGCAAATGTTGCACATTATACAGAGGAACAAAAAGCTGATTACAAATTATTGTAACAAATTTCCAGCAAATAGTAGAACAGCTGATACAGCTCTTTAGGAAGTATTAAATCAACAAACATGGTGTGTAGAAAAGATACATCTTCAAAACTGGATGAAACCACACATTAGGTGAGATAGTTATGTTCACATAAAATCTTGAGGCTTGACTTCTTAGGAAGGTTA